CACGCTATTGCAACGCAATGCTCCCTCCTCAGACAACAGATAACATCATCCCACTCTTTAATTGCCTAAGTAGGTAAGGCCACAGATGTTGTCCCATACCTAACCTTGATCTGTAACAGCAGGCCAACAATTATCCTAGAACCAAAAGACAGGATTTGGAGAGGGTTTTATGCTGGCAGAGGTAATACACCAAAACGGCTAACAAAAAGAATGATTTCTCCTAAAGTTAGATACGCCTTCTTAAGGAGCCCTGGGAATGTAGTAGGTGACATGCAGGGCCACTAACCACAAGGTCAGCAGTTCCCATCCACCAGCCTCTGTGTGGAAGTGGCTTTCTGCTCCCATAAACAATTACCGTCTCGGGAACCCACAAGGGCAGATGTAGTAGGAATCGACTCGCTGGCAGTGAGTTTTTGGTGCATTAAGTCAAAGGGCTCTTGACACCTTTAATTAGGCAGGTAACTTTAGGATTTGTTCTAGTTATATAACTCACCTCATTACATTACACTCATTAGGCCACACTTAAGGACAGCAGACAAACTCAAAAACAAAAAAACTACAAAAGCTCTGTCTCTTTATGCCAAACTAAATATATGCTCTAAGTTCTGAAGATAGCAACCACTTTCTCATTGAAATATAGATGGTTACACTTACTACAAACCACAAACAATCCAAAGACCATGGCAATCCACCTCACAGCTGTAGTAAGTACCACGGGCACTTAGCGCATGTGAAACGAATCACTTTTCCACCAGCCACAGCACAGCCACAGCCTGTGAAAGGGACCACCACATCTACATGTGTGATCTTTCTCTCTACCTGACCTCAGCTAAGCAACCATTTGGGGATCAATAAAAACAGTCAAAGCCATTGCACTGCAGGCCTCGCTCTTAAAGCAAACTTATTAGCTATCAAATCCTCCTAAGTGAATTTCCCTGCAAATTCCCACGAGGAAGCAAATTATTCTAAGTGGTCCCTTTCCTGAAACTGTCTAAGGGATTTATTATTTAGATCTGAAAAATATTCTATACATTTTATTCCATAGAGAACTTGCATATGAGCTGGTAATGAAGGCTCAATAAAAAAGTAATCCTCCAAATTTCCGAACAGTTTAACTTTTCTACTTTCTTTGGTGTGTGTGTGTTCGTTGTTATCAACACGTTTTATTTATATGTTAATTCCTGGAGAATATTTTGAGAGAAAGGGAGTAGTTTGTAGACCAAGAAACAAAGCTTTCAGAAACATAAAATATGATGATTTCATTAAAAGCTTTTCTACTTTCAATAGAGCTACGGTTACAAGAGCCCCCGGGGCGGTGGTGTTGTAGGGAGCCCTGCTTGGCCCGGTGGACCATGCAATGAACTACAAGGTCAGGAGTTGAAAGCTCTATTGCTCAGCCGGCAGAAGATACGGCTGTCTGCTCCAGTTGCTGGAGGGACAATGATAAGGCTGTCTGCTCCAAAGCCCCAAGGGGCAGTTCTACTCTATTCCAAGGGGTCATGAGTCAGAATCCACTCAGTGGCAGCGAGTTTGGTTTTCGTGTGACACTCCGGGTAAAGCATTGGGCAGCTCACTCCAGAGTCATCAGTTCAAACCCAACAGGAGCTCTTCAGGAGAACGATGAGGCTGTCTGCCCCCGTAGATTTAGTCTACTCTGTATTCTAGGTTCACCAGGAATTGAAATCAACTTGATGCAGTGAGTTTGGTTAGGGTTTATGGTTAGTTAAATAATACCTAAATATTAACCATTACATAATTTCTTTCCTCTGCTTATTAGATTCTCATGCACAGTTCATTATAATATTGGCTTAATCCATGTTAAAGAATTATCTGTATTAAGTCAAGGCTAAATTTTTGTGAGGTGTCCTTGAGTTGCTTCTGACTCAGAGTGAACCTTAGGTGCAACAGAAGGAAACACTGCCCAGACCTGTGCCGGCCTCACACTTGTCCTGTTCAAGCCCGAGGTCGCAGGACTGTCAGCACATCTCATCGGGGCCTTCCTCTTTCCCTCTGCCCTCCGCTTTGTCGAACACGGGGTCCTTCTCCAGGGCTGGTCCCTCTGGATAACGCACTCAAAGGCTAAATTAGACCCTCTGATACATGAGAAAATAAAATATCTGATAGGAAAGTTGCAATAGTCTACCATCACACAGTACTACATGTGAAATCCATTTATCAATGGAATTCATATTTACCAATGGAATTAAAATTAATAAAATGAGACGAAATGTAAGCCCACATAAAAATTTACACACAAATGTTTATAGCAGCTTTCTTCTTTAATTGCCATAAAACTGGAAGCAATGACTATATTCTCTAACAGGTGAAAGGATAACAATGCAGTGTTACAAAGCAGTAAAAAGAAAGGTGCTCTCAAGAATCACAAAGACATAGGGGAAATTCAAACGCATACATCTAAGCAAAACCAGCCTATCTGGAAAAACAACATACTGCATGACTCCAAGTATATGATATGACATGACATGCTAGAAAAGACAAACTACGGAGCCAATGAAAAGAGCAGTGGTCGCCAAGGGGTCAGGAGGATGGTAGAAGGATGAACAGGGGGCTCACGGGGCATTTTAAAGCAGTGAAACAATTCTCCATGAAACTGTAATGGCACTGACATGACATTATGCATCTGCCAAAACCCATAGGGCTGTACAATACAAATTGTGAGCCCTTATGTAAACTACGGACTTCTGCTAATAATACTGTATCAATATTGATTTATCAATTGTACCAAACATACCACAGGCATACAAGATCTTCATAACAGGGCAAACACAGAGGGTTGGGGGCATATGGGAACTCAGTGCTTTCTGCATGTTCTATCAAACTAAAAGTCCTATAAAAATTATTTTATTAAAATAAATGAACCTTAAATTAAGCAAGTTCCTGAAAAGAAACTAATTTTGCCAGTAATCTGTTGCCAAAATGTTAGCAGTGTGTAGATGAAGTTCACATATTTACCAATGCAGTCTGTAAAATGGTTGTAAAAATAATCTACGTGATAGTTTATTTTAAAAAAAAGATTCAGACCACTAAGCAAACATTATTAAGAAACAAGAGATTTTAAATTCTAACTGGAGTTTTTCCACAATGCAAACTTTAAATGAACTGGTCACCAGGGCCTAAAAAAGAGTCTAACATTCTAAACAGTTATGACATAAGAGAGTCTTAAGATTGAAAAAAAAGAAGAAAAAAAGGCTCACCACTCTAGTTTTACCTAGATAAGAACTACTTGTTCTACGTAAGTGAACTATCTGTGAACATTATTACTCTTACAAGTTTATATAAGGGAGCATCATGAAAGCGCTTGGGAAATTGGAATGAAAGGATAGAATTTGTGCTTGGACGTTTTGAAGGCTCCCAGGTATGGAATCATATTAAGTCAACACTAATATAACCTTTGTTAGAGTGTTCCTACACAAAAAAGTGGTCAACGAGCCAACTACAGTGAAACCTGCAAAAGCTGGAACCTGCAGAAAGCAGAAAGCGGTCAGAGATGGGAAACTCAAATGCAGGTATGAGTTGCCTAACATCCCTAGGATGTTCTGTGAAACTGGCTGATAGGTGATTTGGGCATTGTGTACACACCATGCTAAAACCTCATGGGAGCAATTTCCTCCAGTTGTTCTCACGGCTGCTGCTGTCACTGCGACTACAGTTGCAGAAGACGTTGATGGCAGGAAGGAGGACACTGGTAGTCGACAGCTGAGAGGGTGACAGTGGGGAAGGGAACAGAAGCCGCGGCAAGTGTGGAGAGAGCAGAGCGCCCCAGTCACCTCTGCCCACCTGCCTGCTGGACAAAGCCTCAGTGCACGGATGCAGACCTACATCCTCCACCTCACATGCCTACATCCCACCCATGATCCAAGAGGTCTTTAAAAGTCATGGGATAAAATAATCAACAAAAGATCTGCTTTCCCTTAGAAAAAACCAACAACTTATGTGCTCAAAGAGACATTAAGGAACATGTACCTAGACCGTCACTAAACTGCATGATAGCAAAGTGGTAAGAAAGACTGTCAAAGGTGGAAAACTTACAAGACACTCAGGAAAATGGGCAAGCCCGGTGACTTCATATTCTTAAAAGTACCACTGTGTTAAGATATCCATTCTACAGTATTTTCACTTTTGTTAATACCTCTAGTTGCAACCTTGGCTTTCATAAAAAGGTAAGATCAGTAAAAACAGTAACCATACTAAACAAATTTCACCTGCATTCAATGCTGGAAATATTTTCAGTTAAACTACCCAGTTCAAAGACTGACCTCAAACCATAACAGAAATGTCTTTAAACAGTCAGGTAGCCATTTTCCAGCTACTGCACCACAAGGTAGAATATCAGTAGGAGGGTAATGATAGGGACTCATGAGACAAGGAGGACCACCATTAATCATTTCCAGGCAGGCACTTTACTGACAATCAGCAAACATTGACCAGAAAGTTGAGGATACGTTAAGTCATGAAGGACAGTGATTCAAACCTAACATCATTGTCTCAAATCATACTTCATACTTAGTCACAGCTGATGACCACAAGAAATCATGTGAGCCATGAAGAAATTGTTTAGTAATCCTGTACTTTAAAAAATCAATTTCCAACAAGAAACAATTGAATAATTATCAAATAACAGATATTTTAAACACTGCCATTCTATCATTTAAGAAATCACATCAACTCCTAATACTTCTTCCGCTAAAAGAAAATTGCATTTGTTACCCTGTAATTCCATTATCATACTGTTATTACATTACTCTATTTTTGGTAACTCCACCCTATCACTGCAAACATACTGGCCGAATTTTCTATTTCTGCAAAGAGACAACAAAAAGTAGTCTTTCACAATCATTTACGTCCAAACCACAATGCTGTTTTTACTAATTAATCAGACTACAACAACAATCGCCAATAACTTTTGGTCTATCATGCCCACATTTCATATGCACCTTTGGCAAAAAAATACAAGCATATATGAAACCATAAGTACTCACCTACAGTTGGGAGGAGGGTCCAATGTAATTTCTGCGAGTTCCTTCTGAATTCTTTAAAACAGACAAAGGGAAGATCTATTAGGGTGAGCTGTCTTCACATTCAATATATTAACTTACTGCATTCCAATGTTAGACTTAACCACTTATGCTTCCCTTTTGCATGCTTTCGAATGGAAACACTAACATTGCACATCCCATCATATACTAAAACAAAGCACTACTTTCTGCTGTGATTTTGGGGAAGAGATTGGACACGCCAGTGCATGTAGCATATGGAGACAACACTATGACTTACATTATAACTTCATTAAAGATAAGTCACTAATCAAAACTTCTTATTTAAACCAAAAGCGTTTGCCTCACTAAGGAAAATTCTAACAATGGATCTGTACTGGAACATCTCCATATTTGAAGAGAAGGTGGTATGATCATACTAGGTTGAATCCAAGCATCCTGGATGATCCCATCCGTTGGTGAAGAAAGGAATATCGCCATCTCATCCAACACATATTTCAGTCTTTCCAGAAGCTTCGAAATGGAGGCAACTTGGCCCTTCCATGTTTGACACTATCCCTTCTTCTGTTAGTGGCGCTATCCTCATAATAGGCCAATGATTACTTTATTATCCTTACATGAGCTTCACATAAAAAAAAAATCCAAAGAATCTTCAAAAAAAACCTCTTTCTGCCCCCATGCATTATTTCGTTTTTTGTTTTTTTTTATTTCGTATTTTGATTCTTCACCTGCACCTAAATCCCCATGTACCTTACAGAGCATATGTGTGCTATTCTGTTTTCTAAAATTATACTTAGCAGTATCTTTATTAGTCATATTATTAGACCTCAGCTTTGTTTGCAAAGTAGTTAGAGTTGGGCTGCTAAGCACAAGGTCAGTCGCTCAGAGGGAGAAAGAAGGGGCTTTCTGCTCCCGTAAAGCATTTTAGTCTCAAACCCACAGGGGCAGTTCGACCCTGTCCTAGAGGGTCACTAGGAGTCAGCATTGACTCAATGGCAGTGAGTTTTTTTGTTTTTGTTAAACCAGCAACAAAAAAGATATTCTCAAAAACATTTCTTCTCTTTGGCCTTGGTTTTAAAATGAGACTCATTAGCCATTGAATGATTGCTGTCTGGTAATTATTGTGATAGTACATGGATGATAGCTGACGAAAATATTTTTTAAAACAGCTACTCAGTTTCACTCTGTATCCTTTCATATATTTTATGGTTTTCAGTGAAAGCTTACATAACAGGCTAAGCATCCTTTCAACAATTTCCATACAAAGTGTTTGCTGGCATTGGTTGCATTCTTTTTTTAATCATTGTATTGGGGGCTCTCACAGCTCTTATCATAATACATAAACCATCCACTGTGTCAAACACATCGGTACATACGTTGCCATTATCATTTTCAAAACATTTTCTTTCTACTTGAGCCCTTGGTATCAGCTCATTTCCCCCGCTCACCACTCCCTCTCTCATCAACACTTGATAACTTATAAATTATTATTATTATTTTAAATGATTTTACTGGGGGCTCGTACAGCTCATCACAATCCATACATCCATCGTGTTAAGCACATTTGTACATTTGTTGCCATCATCATTCTCAAAACATTTTCTTTCTACTTGAGCCCTTTGGTATTGGCTCATTTTTTTCCTCCCTTACTCATGAACCCTTTATAATTCATAAATTATTATTATTTTTTCAGGTCTTATCCTGACGAATGTCTTCCTTCACCCACTTTTCTGTTGTCCATCCCCCAGGGACGGGGTTATATGTAGGTCATTGTGATCAGTTCCCCCTTTCTCCTCCCACCTTTCCCTTCCCCTCCTGGTATCTCTACTCTCATTATTTGTCCTGAGGGGTTTATCAGTCCTGGAGTGCCTGTGTTTCCAGCGCTTATCTGTACCCACGTATACATGCTCTAGTCTAGCCAGATTTGTATGGTAGAACTGGAGTGATGATAGTGGGGTAGCATTAAAGAACTAGAGGAAAGGTGCTATATTGCACCCTGACTGACTCGTCTCCTCCCTTCTGTAAGAGGATGTGCAATTGTCTACAGATGAGCTTTGGGTCTCCACTCCGCCCTCCCCCTCATTCACATCAATATAATTTTTTATTCTAGGTCTCTGATGCCTGATACCTGATCCGATAGACACCTCATGATCACACAGGCTGGTTTGCTTCGTCTTTGTGGGCTTTGTTGCTTCTCAGCTAGATGGCCACTTATTTATCTTCAAGCCTTTAAGACCCAGATGCTGCATCTTTTGATAGCTGGGCACCATCACCTTTCTTCACCACATTTGCTTATGCACCCATTTTGTCTTCAGCGATTATGTCAGGGAAGGTGAGCATCACAGAATGCCAGGTTGAGGGAGTACTTGAGTACAGGCCCAAAGTTTGTCTGCTACCTTAATACTTAACATATAAATATATGTACATTCTTTTCATTCTCTTCAATCGTGAACATACTCATTTTCTGTTTGGTTGTTCCACTTCCAGTACCCTAGTTTCCCTGATTCTTCACCTTCTCATCTTTGTTTTAAAGTTGAACATTTGCCCTCACGTAGATGACCCGATTTTAAAGGAGCATAGTACAGTCTTCAGGTTACAAACCAGATCCATTCCTTTGTCCGTAAGTAGAAATTGCAGGTGAGTCGGAATAGGAACAGTTCTCATTCAGTCATTAGTGCAAGAACAGGTTCAGAGCTTCTTCTAGGATTTAAAAGCTGCACAGGCAGCAACTGAAGGTGATTATGATAAAGAATGTGCTGCGAGTAGATTTGCTCAGTCACTCAAAGTGAAGGTAAAAGAGTGGAAGATGGAACGGTGAGAGCTGTCCCTAAGTCGGACGTTTGTAGCACAGGGACTACATGTATTCATGGGGGATACTCTTTATTGTGTGAGTCAAATTCTGATTTCGCTAAAAAGTGACATCAGAGGATCGTTTCTGGACAAAGCTTCAAGAGGACATCTAAGCAATAATCTTGAGAGGAGTCATTGAGTCCCAACCGGAACAGGAGTGTAGATTCTTTTAGAATTTCAGGCTCTTTTCTACAATTATCTCTTATTCTATCAGGTCCTAATCACAAAAATCAGTACCAGTAGCTGAGCACCATCTGGTTCTTCTGGTCTTGGGCTAGATGAGGCCGTGGTTTGTACAAATGACTAAACTAGTTCTTTTGAAATTCCCTCTGCAAACACTTGGATTTCCCTCTCCAAATTATTAAGAATTCACACATTATTAATATAATATCCACGTGTCTAGACTATATAATTTCAGGTTGGGGAGACCTTGAGAAGCAGAACGAAATCAATAAATACCAAGTCAAAAATGCTTTCATCTTAATTCTGATATCCTAATTAATTAAGGATTCTTGGGCTACCAGCTTGCTTGCTCACTCGCGCGCACTCTCTCTCTCTGTTTCAGTTCTCTTCCTATAAAATAAAGGTGTTTACTGGAAAATAAAACTCCCTGATCTTTTATCTGTAAAACTCAGTAATTTCCTTTTAACACAAATTTTATGATGTGTTTACATGCATAAGGAACACATATGGCCCATAATTAAATGACACGTCTCAACAATCTGACTGGAATAACTTTAATAGATTTCAAACAAAAGTATAAAACACGCACTGTGAATCTATAAAACTAAGTGGAATACCATCAAACTAAACACAAGCACAGTCAACCTCTGCTCTGTCAGGACTCTAATGGAGGGGGACAGGGTACGCAGGGGAGGTATTAAACGGAGTAAAAGAGAATTGAGTGTTCACCAATAGATCAGAAAGGTTAGTATATTCTCGGGAGACAAAGTGGATATCATGAGATGATGGAGGGGGAGGGTGCACTACAAAGAGTAAAAGATAAAGACATATATACCCCAAAAAGGGAGGTTTGGGAGGCTACCTGAGATTATTGGGGGGTTGGGGAGAAGAGTTGCATATGAAAGATTTCTAGTTCAAGTATACAGCAAACTAAAATATTAATCATTTTAATCAAGTAATAACTGTTACACCCACCACAAAAAAGGCGTTAAACCATTGGTTAGAACCAACGAGTTAAACCATTATTTAAAATTAGAAATTCAACACATCCGATATACAAGGGAGCTTCAATAAGTTCACGGGGACACTCCATTTAGTTATGCAGAAAGCCAATAGAAGAACTAAGAGTAGATTAAGTACAAGTTTGTTTCTAGGGAAGAAAACTGGGATCCAGGAGTGTTTGAATAGAAAGCTCTTGATTTCCATCAGTTCTTAGTAATAGCTGTTATAATTAATAACTTTAAAAAAAAATCATTTTGTTGGGGGCTTGTCCACCTCTTATTATAATCCATACATACATCCATTGTGTCAAGCAGATTTATACATTTGTTACCATCATCATTGTCAAAAAATTTTCTTTGTACTTGAGCCCTTGGTATCAACTTCTCATTTCCCCCCCTCCCTTCCCCACCCTCCCTCATCAATTAATAACTTTTATCATCGCTTTTAAACTAAGAGCCAAATGAACAGCCATTAAAAGCAGCATGTTTACTTCTAATAAAAATTTTTAACAAAAAAAAAAATCAACCTTTATGTCTTACTGACCCTTTGCCTTAAAAATATAATTAATAACTAATTTTCTATCGGAGGATTATATGATGGAACTAGGAACCACTCCAAATGGCTATAATTCTAAATTCCTAATATTCAATATTAAAAAAAATTACTGATAAATTTGACAACTCTGAACAATGATTCACTGTATCATAATATATTTTGAGCTACTGTCACCTAAGAATGGTTGTATTTCTCTCAATCGGAAAGGTTGTATTAAGAATTTCTATTTAAACGGTTGTAAGATCTCCTGCTGTTTTCAATGACAGTAATTCAGCTCTACCTCAAAACTTGTGATCATGCTATGTATTTAAGTTTCTCGGTCTTGACATGTGGGATAAGGAAGGTAGCTAAACCGGGCACTGTCCTGAGGGTGAAGAAAAATGAAAAACTATCAATAATTCACACTTAGCAGTGCACCTTTCACCTGATGATCTCAAGCCATTAAA